AAGAAAATGCTAATTGCTTCAAAATGCTATACTAATTTTGTGCTCCAAAACTCAGGTTATTTGTTGGTTTTCATTTGGGATCCTGCAGTTATTACCAAATTAAGATTCTACTTTATCAGAGCCAAAATATATTAATTCATCAGAGAACTGAGCAGCTGGTGCACACCCATGCCGTAGCATGGGCTCGACTTTGAGATATCATTTATAAAAAGTTTAAATAAACAAATGCAGGTGAGAATTGATTGCTGAGGCCCTTTTTTTTTTTTTTGCTTTCTGGGAAAATATCAATCAGTAAGTATAGCATTGATTTCTGTTGGACGAAACTGAGCCTATGCATTTGGTTGCATCTTTGCAAAATATCATGATGGTCTTGTGTTAGGGCTTTTTCCTTCCGGGTGCTGGACACTTTTCTGGCATCCTGAGTTCCCTCAGTTCCTATTAGACTTTAGTGGGCTTTGAGAATATACAATTGCCCAACTCACACTAAGGATCCTGACTTCTGTTATCATCTCAGCCACTGCCTGGCCTTTAATACTTTTCGCTTTAGGAATGGTTAACTTAATAGCAATGTAGTAAAAAAACCCATTTTTTAGCAATGTAGTAAAAAAAAACATTTTTTCTTGGTTTAAGCATTAATGGCATCCCGAGAGACTGCACAACAAATAAGCAGCAGTTAAAGGGTTCTTCTAATTAGTGTTTTTAAAAAACATTATTTTCTCTTTTGATGGAAGCTAGTATTTCCCAGCACCTGAGAAAGGTCTGGAAGAGGTAAATATAGGGGTAGGTCAGGTTCACAAGTTTCCCAGTCCTTCAGCTTAGCACATGAGGGTGGAAGTTAGCCTCATGCAGCAAGCCAACCTGTTTTCTTATGTGTTTCACCTTCCCTAGAGTCAGCATGTTGTGTGGCTTAGGCATCCTCTGATGTTTTTCTGATGGATCAAGGCCTTCAGCTTTAACTAATTTTCAGAAAAAACCATGGTGAGATTTTTGCTGCATGGAATCAGCACATACCTGCTCTTCCCATGCTTATAGTTCTCATTAAACAAAATAAACACTGCTTCCTCTGATTCTTTCACCTTGCTCATTTAAGAAGTATCTAATTTGTATCTGTAGCTCATTGTGATTCCTTCCCACCCACTAGTTGTCATGGCTAGTCAGGTGACTTCTACTTCTTTCTGGAAAAGATCTGCATCTCCTTCATCTCTGTGTCTGAAAAGACAGACAGTCATACAGACACACAAGGATAATCTGTGGGGAGATAGACTACTATGCCTTCCTGCCTTTTGATGTGAAACCCTTCCCTCCACCCTTTATGCTAAACCCTGTGTAATCTCTCTTCTCATTTATCACATTCCACCTAAGACTGCACAGCTGAGTGGATCTTTTTGGTTTAAACACTATTGTTGATCTTTATTTTAAAGAGGAAGAGTAAATTCTCCCCAGTGATATAATTTCAGCGAGCTCAAATTGGAGAGACCGTTGCTAATGACTTCCAGCATGATACTGCACTTATCCCAGGAGCACACTAGGCTTTTGTGAACTAAGAAAGGTCTTTCTGAAGAGTATGATTAATGCACTATCCCAGCACAAGGAATTAGATATCCTGTTTCTGACATACAGAACTAAATGATATTAATCCATACAAGAGGCCTCCCGTTTGCTGAGGAACCTGTATTGCTACAGCTGTATTTTTTTTCTGTTGGGAATTTACATCAGTGTTTACTCTAATTAGAAAAGACCAGCACACTCTCAGTGCACTAGAACTCCTGTAGCCACTGACATATTCTACAGCATTTCTGTGTTCCTCCTTCCCTTTTCATGCAGATCAGGACTTACTGTGGTTTGTGATCATGTTTCTGTCCATCTATGGAAAAATACACTTCCCACAATAGATACTACACTATTCATCTTGATTTGCTATTTTCTGCTCCTGTTCTTCTGACTAGTGCCTTCCACTGATGGTGCTCTTCAGCTTTTTTGAAAAACAAATAAAGCCTCATTTTAAAACAAAATCTAAGCAATTAAAAAGAGGGGCATCTTGTTGAATATCTAGTGAGAGGAGAGGGGCTATATCAAAATGTTTAAAACTAGGCTGAATAAAATACTGGAAAACTCACTGAAGGGAAGAGTTCTGCACAGGCAGAAGGATGGAACAGATGGTTCAGTAAGTCTTCTCTATTTCTGACTTGCGTGAGCCATATTGTCTCTTGCACAGTGGCCACTGATGCAGAGCTGCCCTGCCAATATATAGCAGCCCCCTCAGACCTGTTAGGATTAGAGGCATCACTGAGATTAAGAAAATGGTTTCAGGACTCAAGGGGTCCGAAGTGGGATCCCACAGGGTTGTCTGCTGGTCCCTATTTTCATCACTGATCTGGAAATGGGGGTGCATAGTGAAACTTCGAGGTTTGCAGATAATACCAAATTATTTCACGTAGTCAAGTCCCAAGATGATGGAGAGGAGCTACAAAAAATCTCATCAAGTGAGTTTGTGGAAAAAAATGGCAGATGAACTCCAATGTCAACAATTCAAGGTAATGCACCTGGGGAAAAATAACCTCAATTATAACATACACGATATTGGGTTCTGAACTAGCTGTTACAACTCAGGGAGAGACCTTAGAATCATTATAGATAGTTCTCTAAAGTGTCAGTATATAGTGGCAACCAAAAGAGCTAATAAAATGTTGGGCATCATTAAGAAGGGAACTGAAACAAAATGAAGAACACCATCATGCCATTATACAAATCCATGATGTGCCCACATCTCGAATACTATGTGCAGTTTTAGTCCTCATATCTTTAAAAGGATGTAATAGAACTAGAAAAAGTACAGAGAAGGGCAACAAAAATGATCGGGGCACAGTGCAGTTCCCATACTAAAAAGGATTGGACTCTTCAGTACTGAAAGGAGAAGGCTAATGGGGATATGACAGAGGCCTATAAAATCATGAAGGGTGTGGACCAAGTACACAGAAACTGTTTTTCACCAAGTCCCAGAATACTAGAACTAGGGGGCACTGCCTGAAATGAGTAGGTGACTGGTTTAAAACTAACAAGAGAAAGTACTTTTTATTCAATATTAGTTAACTTATGGAATTCATGGCCACATGAGGGGGAGGCAGATAGCACAGCCAGGTTCAAAAAGGGACTGGATAAACTCATATATTTATTAATGGATATTGAACAGAATGATTGAAGATGTGTCCTCTGGTATCTCTCGATAATGGTGGATGCTGGGAATAGATCACTATAGAGACATCCAGTTTAGTGCTCTCTCTCTGTAGCATCCATTTCTGCCGGTGTTGGAGACAGAATACTGAGCTACATGGACCATTGGTCTGACCTAGTTTGGCACTTCTTATGTTCTTATGCCTAGTAACCCCACCTCCTGTTTCAACCCTTTGGGACCATTAGCACTCAAGCATTCCAACTGATGCCAGGGAATCTGTCCAGATGACCCAGGATAAGGATACAGAAAGCACAATCATGCAATAAAATTCAGTGAATTTGCTTGGCCACAGCCAAGGACCAATAGTAGTTGCAAACTCAAAATGAAATGAAAAAGATAGCCAAACTTCCTCTAAGCTTTCTAGCCACAAACCAGTATCTTGACATGACTGAGGGCTATAGGATTAAATATTTTCAAGATGTGGATGCCTCAAGTCAGTGGTCTATGTGCAACACCCCAGCTCAAATACTAATTTGCTAAATGGCTTCTTATAATAAATAAAAACCAAAGAAAATTAATAAATAGAAAATAATGAACAGGAAGAAAAAAGAATGTTGTTATTTAACTACTACTCTTTCTTCAGAAGATACATTTAAACTGCCTAAGAGCCATGTGTGACTCAAGAGCCATGGTTTGGCCACTCTTCAGCTAGTCTATAATAAAAACAGTATCACAGGAAAGAATGAGAAAAGGAGAGAGCATGTTGTGGGCAGAACAAGAGATAGTCCTGAAACACTGAATAATTTGATCTGCCTAATGGTGGAAGGTTGATGTAGTACAAATATTTTTCTCTTTTCTGGCTGTTAACCAGTGTTGATAATTATGCCTGTTTTCTTTTTCCTTGTGTATTTTTCTGTTATAGCCTTCTGTCTTCCTTTTTAGGCCTGTGCTTGTATAGTAGTGTACAAACCCTTTTGTTTTAAAGAAGCTGCTCCCTGGCAACATCTAACCTTCATTTGAGTGAAGTAGGAAAAACATGCTTTGATTTATATCCTAGTATATCCCAGCAGTTGATCTCTTGGTATCATGAGGTTCAGGTCCTCTATGAGGTACCTGTCTGTAAAGTTACCTAATAATTATAACCCTTATACTCTGTCATTACCGAATGCAGGCTGTAAAACGGGTAGGGCAACATTAACTAGATAAAGTCTTGGTTGGGATGATCTAGTTGGGGATGGTCCTGCTTTGAGCAGGGGTGGACTAGATATCCTCCTGACGTCCCTCCAACCCTCATTTTCTATGATTCTGTGGGTGCCTGTACACAAGCATGGAGGCTACTCTGACATGCTGTAATTAGAGTGCCTCAAAGCAGACTTGATTAATTGAGTCTGCTGGAGCATGGCAATTACCACGCTCCAGCAGCCTCCCGCATCTTGTGTATTAGCCCCCCACCACTTTAAAGTGGTGGAAGGGGCACTTAAATTAAATTAAAGCTTGTTGAATGAGCTTTAGTTCAAGTGCCCTCAGCACCATTGTGAAGCACAGGGATGCTGATACACAAGATGCTTCGGCATTGCCACACCCCCAGAGCACCTGTAAAAGTGCCTGATTCTGACTCATTCATTGTGCAAGTGCCATTTCATTCAGGGTTTCAATCTCTCTTTCAACAGGCATTATTTTACTGGTGCCTCTTACTTTCTAATTACAAAATATCTCTAGTATTTCATGTAGTATGTTGTATTTACAAGATCTTTGCTGCAATATGTTTCCACAGGGTATTAATGCTACTATGTTTGGTGCATTTACCTTTGGCATTACATTTTTTCAGGTTCACTACGCTGGTACTGCTGACAGTACAGTACAGTTCATCTTCTACCAGCCTATCATTCACCGATGGAGGGAAACAGATTTTTTTCCTTGTTCAGCATCCTGTGGAGGAGGTAATAAATCACAGCTATATTCTGTAGCTAGTATTGTGTGTGTGTTAGAGATGCATCCTACCTACTAGATAGAGGTCAGACATGTTCAGTTGTACAGCGGTCTCCTTCTGTGGCTAGCCGATGCAAAATTTGGGGGGTTTGGGGGGGCTGGAGGAGCAGGTAGTGAATGGAGCCTAGTGGGGGTCCTGCTTCCTCCAGCCCCTGCTCCCCCAGCCCCTACTTACCAGCTTGGAGTCCAGGTCCAGCTCCCTGCTGCAGCAGGCAGGGACGGCCCGAATCACTGAAGCTCTCCAAATCTTTTCTGAATTGATTTGGAGAGCTTTGAATTGATTCAGACCTTTTAATTGGTCCCCTGATTCAATTCGGATTCAGAGATTCAGCCACTAAATCAGGCCAAATCTCTTCTGAATCTAATCAGCATCCGAAGCTTTGCACAGCCCTATCAGGCTACCAAACTGTCACAGACTAGAGCTGTTTTTTTCCTTTCCTGCAGGAGCTTCTCCTCTAGCAGCTGCCAAAGAACTCTCCCTGCCAGTCCCAGCCCTGGGGCTTAGATGTGCCCACTGCTCAGGGCCCTGCATCATTCTGGTCAGCTGAATGGAGACAGGTGCTAGTGGTGTTGGTCTAAGGACATAGCACTGGCAGACAAGGTTCTTTGGGTCAATCTGGTGTCTTTTAGTAGACCAACTGAATAGTTAGAGAAAGCTGGGACAGTGAGCGGTTGTGTTTTGATTTTTCTGGAGAGATGCTTTCTTTGATTGTACCATGGAGCTAAGTGGCTTATGGTTACTGAAATGAGAACTTTTATAAAAGAATTGAATGGAAGAAATAGAGATGTTGTGTTGGATATATAAATGATGTGTTACTTGTGGTGTGTGTGATGGGTTATGTTGTGTTTTTATGTTTATTATTTAAAAAAAAACAAATAGAGAAATATATCTTAGCAAGCTTTTGGGTTGAAAAACCCATCGTCAGGCCGAGGAAGCACCTGCACCTGTCTCTCTGTGCTGTTCCTGAATAGAAGGAATAGTAAAGAAGCCAGAGGCTGGCATGCAATGCAGGCCAGAAAGCCAGTCAGTGAAATTGGAAATGGAGGCATCAGGGGGTGAGGAACTGGCTGGGGCGGGGAAGGGGATGTAGCAGCACAGGTAAAAGTGCAGAGGCACCTATGGAATCAGATGTCTGGCAGGTTGTAGTATGTCAGAATTTCATGAGTTTCTGTACCTACTACCTAGGAAGCTGATGAAGTGAAGTTTAAAGGCCCAGCTCTGAAAAGTGGTTTGTAAATTCAAACAAGCACCTAACCTCATCACCAGTGCCCCCTCCAGCTCTGAGAGTGGGGCAGTAACTGGTGTAAAAAAATAAAATGAAAATAGGTGCAGATGCAGAGAGGAGGGTGGCACTCAGTGTGTCTTCAGGTGAAGCTTGGGAAACCCCAGCTTCAGGAGATTCATCTTCAAGAACACCAGCTGCTCCACCAAACCAGGATCCAAGCGGGTGCGGTGGGGTGTCACGATGTCCCCAGCAATGCTGAACACCCTCTCGCTCAGAACACTGGTTGGTGGACAGGACTGGTATTCACAGACAGCCGTGGCCACATCCTGCCACATCTGGCTGCAGCTTGCCCAGTAGGCCAAGGAGTCGCAGTCCAGCAGCTCCACATCCTCAGCAAGATAAGGTAGACACTGAAGCCTCAGTGCTTCCTCCCTGAGGCTGGGGTCTGGTGCACTTGGACCCCAGCATTGAAGTCATGCCCTTGGCCCACATTGGCAGTTGGTGGCATGGAGGAGACTGGCTGGTGCTGGTACTGGTACTGGTGCCTGTGCTGGTGGTGGGAGTGCTGGCAGGGGAAAGTGGATCCCCCTCTTCCACATCCCCTTGCCTCTGCCCTTTTGCCTCCCTGATTCTGTTGACTAGCACCTGCATTTAGTGTTTGAGGGTTTTGGTGCTGCCAGTGCACATGCTTCTCTTCACCCTTGGGTCGCACATGCCCAACAGCATGTGGACCATACTGGACCACAAGAGATCCAGCTATCTCCTGATCCCCTCCTTCAGCCGCCTCACCAGTACCTGCATGCCTGGTGACAGCAGCTTGCCCATCCAGGAACACTGATCTCCTGGAACTTCTCCATTTGGTTCTCAAGTTCCCTCATTACAAGGATCACCTGGCTAAGGAGGGCATCGGCAGTGCTGAAGGCTTGAGGACCACCAATATCTGGGAGATGGTATCCCACTCAGCTCTGTTAAGGGGACTGCCGATCCCAGTCTCCCTGAGCAAGGCCATCTCATGGATGACCTTGTGTTGCTCCACCAGCCTTTCCAGCATCAGGTATGTGGAGTTCCACTGAGCCTCCACATCCTGCATGATTTTGTGTTGTGGGATGCTAAGCTCTGCCTGTTTGTCCCACAGCCTCTTGCCCCCCTTGCTACTGTGGTGGAAGTAGCCTGACACCTTCCTGCATTTTGAAATGATCTGGGAGGTAGTGATGGCACCATCCCTGGCAGCCCTGTCCCCCTCCAAGGCATCCCTGACTATGAGGTGCAGCCTGTGTGCCACACAGTGGATGCCAAAAAAGTTGGCATCACAGACGGCTTTGACCATATTGGCTCCATTGCCGGTGACCATGAACCTACGGGTGAGCTCTCCCTGCCCAAAAAGCCACCCCTGTAGGTGTTATCTCCACCCTGGCTGCTCCAGATGTTGGAGGTGAAGTGCAAGGCACCTGCAGCCCTGCTTTGCACAGCTCCTCCCTCATGTACTCCCTGCATGCCTCATACTGGAAGGCCACCACCGTCCTACTAAAGGTGGTGCATGCAGGCACTTCATAAGATGGGGCTACAAGCATCATGAGACATCTGAACCCTGGCTGCTCAACTAAGGAGAAGGGCTAGCTATCCAGAGCAAGCATCTCCCCAATGCTCTGGGTGATCTTGCTTGCCCTTGCAATGCGCCCCCCTCAGTTTGCAGCCTTTCCCCACCACTCCATGGTGGCCTGCCTCTGCTTTGAGGTAACGGGGGCTTTGGAGTGAGCAGGGGACTTCCTTTAGGGCACACTGGCACTGGTGCCAGGTTGAGAAGGAAGAAGGGCAAGGGGATGCTGCCTCCTGAGATGCAACAGCATTGCCGTGGTGGTGAAGTGTTTCATCTCCTTGCCCTGACTGATCTGCCTTCGGCAGCACTGGCAGATACCAAACCTGGGATCATCTGCCACCTCAGAATGATCCCACACTACACTAGTCCCCTGTTTCTGGGTTGAAGGTGGGGCCTCTGCCTTATCCCCCTCCTCAGCAGGCAGAGGCACAACAGCAGGAAGAGCTGACTCAGCTGAGCCACTTGCCTCCACAACCTCTTCTGAGGCTACTTCCTGACAAGTAGACCTGGGTCTAGGGGAACTTTGAGGGGTGTGGAGCACAAAGTCAGATTCCCCCTTGGCCCCCAGAATTTCTTTTGCTAGGGCACTCAGGTCCCCTGGTTCCAGATCCAGCTCCTCCTCTGGCAGTGGGAGGTGCATGCTGGGAGATGAAATTGAGGTGGAGGAGACTGTTATTCTGCTGCTGGTGCCTATTTCTGGAGTTAGGGGAGGTGGAGCAGGTGCAGGGACAGGTACTGCTCCCACCTCCTTGCCTTCACTGGCAGCAGAAGCCTCATGGCTGCCAGGAAAGAGGATGCATCTATGTTTGGGCAAGGGTGGGGAACTTGCAGCTCTAACTCTACCCCTACCCACTCTGGCCCCTCTCCCTCACCTGCCAGAAGACCTGGCACCTGACTTTCCAACACACTTCATATTAATCTTTCCCATGCTGGAAAATGTACCTGTGTAACTAATAATAGAATATATGTCTTCTTCTTTGAAATATCACTGACTGTGTCTGACTTCTTCTGTGTTGTGTTTTGTTTACTGTTCTGTGTTGTTGTATAGTGTACCTAAAATATCTATCCTCTTCTTCTTTTTCTTCTTCTATGACTCTCTGACTTGTTGTGTTGTGTTTAATCTGTATTTGAGTTCTGTGTTGTCTGTAGTGTGATTGTAGGTATGATTAATAATAACTATATATAATTTGATCTCTTCTTCTTTTGACTCTATGACTTGTTATGTTACTCTGAATCTGTGACGACTTCTTCTTCTTCTGTCTTGTGTTTTATTTACTGTTCTATGTTGTTGTGTAGTGTACCTAAAATATCTACTCTCTTCTTTTTCCATGACTCTGACATCTGTATCTGACTCCTGTGTTGTCTGTAGTATAATTGTAAGTATGATTAATAATAATAACTGTATATCATTTGATCTCTTCTTCTGTGACTCTCTGACTTCTGTTATGTTAATCTGAATCTGCAACTTCTTCTGTGTTGTGTTTACTGTTCTGTGTGTGTTGTGTAACTAATATAATCTCCTCCTCTTCTTCTTTTATGACTGTCTGACTTCTGTGTTTTTAGTCTATGTAACTAATAACTATAATAATAGTAATAACTATATATAATCTCTTATTCTTCTTGTATGAATGTCTGACTTCTGTGTTGTAATAATATCTGACTACTTCTTCTATAATGTATGTGTGTGAATGTGTAAAGTGTGGTTCCCTGCACAGTGATGGATGACACTGCCAGAGAAAACACAGCTTTCTTTTTTAAAGTTTTTGGGGGAAAAAACCCAAGAAAAAATATAAATTGAAAGAAATGGATAAGTAGTGGAATTCTAGCTAGTAACCTAAGCTATATCCAATCCTTTCCAAGGCCAAAAAGTAGTAGGAGAATGACTAGGAAGCCAAGCCAGTTCTGTAACTTTCAGACACTGTTTCTCAGGCAGAAACAGCTCACAAAAGGCACAGAAAGCCTGCAGACAGAGGCTTATGATGTTTCTATGTCCCTCTTCCAGATCACTGTGACTGGAAGGGAACTCAAGGAGAGATAAAGCCACTGGCCAGCTAGAGATGTCAGTCCTCCCCCCCCGGCTCCCCCTCCCTCTTCTCAGTTTCTGTTCCACTGAAAGACCACCTCCAAATCTTTTCCAAATTGATTCAGAGGGTCTGAATCTATTCGGAAATTTTTAAGTTTCTCCTGATTCAATTCGGATTCGGAGATTCAGCCTCCAAATCAGGACAAATCTTCTCCAAATCAAAACTCAAACCAAAGCTTTGCACAGCCCTACTGCTTAGCACCACACCATCAAGAGATTTTCATCCTAAAACTGTCCAAAATAGCTATGAATGTATGATCTTAGCATAACGAGACCCTCCAGTGGTTTGGATCTGATGCAGTTTCTTCTACAGCACTTCTATCTTGCAGGTGACTTAGGGTACTAGGAAAATACAGGGCAAAACTATGGACTTCCCTTGTCATTCTGCTTTCTGGCTGCTGTATCAAGCCCTTCTGGGGCTGTCACTCCTATGACCATCTGAGACAAAACCTTAAGAGTAGAAAGGCCTTCTTTGCTTGTCTCCCCCTGAGCTGAACAGTGCCAGGGCTGAGATAAGCCTTTGTTTCAAGGAATCTTTACAACTGGTTTGTCTTTATTTTGGCCTCTTTGAATTTGTGCTTTACGACATTATATCTGCTTCTCTGCTATCCAACTCTCTGGATTCAGGGAGGAAAATCCATATTTTCTTGAGTGCCAGCCTGGCAAGATGTCCTCCTGAGTATGTCTTGAGAACTTCAGGACTTAACTCTCTGCTTCCTCAATAACAATGTAGGGGTGAGGGCCTCTGTCATCCTCACCTCCCCACCCCCTACCCCCCG